ATTATTGCATTCGTTTTGTACTTTGTTTTTAGCACCTATCTACTTAGTGTTATATTTTCCATATAATAGGTTAGCATATGTCAGTTGTAGTATTCACACGCTGAATTACTGAACGATGAGAGTTCGTTATTTATTAACATACATATTGTTCATAAATTACTTCGAGAAACATCACTGTATATGTATATCATCATTATTTTAGGGACAGAATAGAGCTAAATATAACTTTGATAGTCAGTTTCCCTTATATATAATTTAGTCACTATTATACTTAGATATACATTATAGTTATAAAGTGTCATCGAGATGAAATTGTAAAACTTATTAATTAGCTTGAATTTTCATTTGGAGCCTGTAACTACTTATTAACATCAGATTTTCATATTGATGGATTTGATTGACATAATCGAAGCTGGAAAGTATTTATAACAATTTAGAATATACCTAACGAAATATAGGTTAAGCCAATACTCCAGTAAAGTTACTTCTTCTTGAAATATAGGTATCCTAACATACTATAAAATAGAAACCAGTAAACGCATGCTTATCAATACTGATTGATTAACATGACAAGGATTAAAGAATCTAACAGGCTACATTCTATTGTTTTCACAAAAGAATCCTTTCAACACTTTGTTACAAAATCGTTTGTTTTGACCTAAACCATGAACCGTATTCTTTCAGTGAAGACGTAATTACAATTTACTTTTAAGCTATTTGGCGTTCACAGTAAATAATGTATTCTATATGTAGTGTTTCCCAACCATTTATTTTATCCTATCAAGTGAATTTCATATTATGCAATCTTTAGAATAAAATCAAATATTAAAGTGACTGGACTGATATTTAGTCGATCAATCATAAACCTGTGTTCCATTAGGAACTGCGCCTAAATAACTTGTTGGTAAACATTAATAACCAACGAATTTTGTTCTTGTAAAGCACAATTGATTATGGATATTTGGAGACCTTCATGGAAATTTTAATTTGATCATAGCTGTTCAAATTTTTTTTTACTATAACAACGAAAAACTAGTATTTGACGTTACTACTTCCAGGGTTCGTTGTCTATAAAAGGTATAACATAACAATACCCTTTAAAAAAATATGTTCGCGTTTTAGAACTTTCCGCGGAAAAAACAAACAATTACTAATGTGATTCAGAAGAATAAATGTTTTGCTTTTAATCGAAATGAATAATTTATATTGAAGAGTTCAAAAATTATTCTGTTTTGTTTTTCAGAAGAATTGAAATATTTTATTCAAAAAATTCACAATGTTAGTTCAAAATTAATTTTATTGAATGAAGTTTGATAAGTCATCTAATTGAATGCTAGATTCGGCTCCTAAGCTCTTCTAGTAACCCCGCAGGCTAAATTTACACAGCAACTTGAACACAAGCGAAAAGGCCCAAAATATGAAAAAAAACACTTCACTCCGAAGGTTCTTTCGTTATCTTCAAGCAAATAGAGATGACTGTTCTTCAGTGATTTAAGACAGGGTTTTAATTGTTCCTTTGAAACTAAAGTCTCGTGGGTTCTTAGAAAGAATAAAGTCATCATAACGTTCATGTTCTGTCGTCCCAAGTTTTCTTAGAAGTATTCTGACTTTGAGGCACCATCAAGTCTGCAGAGATAAATATGGAACAAATCTTCGTACTTTTTAAATCAAGAGTCGGAAGTAACACCTGCTACACCATCAAAATAAAATTTTATGGATCATAATGATGACTGAATCAGTATGGGATACTTGTGATTTACCAGAAGCAGGGTTTTGCTGAGACAGGCACAATTTCTGCATAAGGGCTTCCATGATTCTGATTTGAGACTGTTCAAACCGCTTCTCTTCACGTTCCATGTAGGCTTCTAATTGCTCCAAAGAAATATTCATTGCAGATTTTCCCGCCGCCATTGATATAACTTGTGGCTTTGTGTCCTATTAATCTGTAACGTAATGATAACGCAAATCAGAAAACAGAGATTTATCGACCGGACCAATGACGTATAAAACCCATACGAGCAGTCTACAGTCCTTTTCGGCCCTGCTTTCTGTCTAGCCCTACCTTTTAAATTCAGAACACCAATCTCAACCTCCACGATATAAATCATGTATTTCAAAAATACTGGGTTTATGTACAAATCAAACAGACCATACACATAGTTCCCTTTATCATCTTGAAAAGAGAAAGAACAAAGATTCTAGCAGAATAGCATGAATTCATTTTATTTCGTAGGTTCTCGTCAGCTGCTTACAACCTGTGATATTTAAAAATCATAATTGCATAATGGGTTTAAATTGCTTACTGAATATTGTAAATATAAACCTAATGTGAAGGAATATTCTATAACATTAATTGTGACAACAGTTCAAAAGTGGGTTAGATTACATAATGAATAACATTGAAGGAATGTAGTGAGTAGACTTCAGTTGAAAGATTATTAATTTGAAAGATAGTTGAAAAAATAAAATAAAATCAATAATGTAATAAATGCAAAGAAAAAAGAAAAAAATTTTTTTAAGGTGCAGTGAAGGGATATTTGTCACCAGGTGACCATATCGTGCCGTAAAATAGAAAATAACATTTGTACAAGATTTAGCCAAAGGTGGCTGTGAGATAGTAATTGATAGACTGAGTATAACTCAATAATAGTAAGTCGTATAATAACAGTTTATGGGTCAAATAAAGCTCATAAAAGAGGGACACGAATATGAATAGTTTAGTTATTTAATAATTATGCGATAAAAATATACGTATAGTATTAGACCAGAAATATATTCCAACAGTTACCATTCATTATTCTCATCGGGATATAACAGATTAAAGTAGCAAAGTTTTGAAAATTATTATTTATCCCTAAGACATAATGTTTCAAGACGATTAACATTCTTTAATACATATTAGAATATGAATAGTGAAATTAAGAGCTTTCGCCTAAATTTGAACGAATAGTTTCACAATATTTTCTTGAGACTATATATATTTATATTCGGTAATTTTGTTGTTTCATTATATTTTCCTTGAAAAGGGTTGGACCAGATTGCCAGGCGAAACGTTGGATTTACTTCAAATTCTTTCACTGAGAGTTTACAAATACATTCTTCCTCTTTAATAAATAATGAACTTTTATGAAAATATTGGTTTTCAACATTTTCTTCTCCTATAACAATAAGGTTAAAAATTAAAATGGATAATTTTATAAGAAGCAAAGTAGTATGCACATTGAAGATAATAATTATAATCGGTTTGTCTAAAATCTACTACATCTAAATTTGATGTGTTTTAATTGTTGATAAAATGTATAGAAGAATCTGAGGTCCTATATATAAAAGGGTAATATTATGCGAATCTGTTTATTCAAAATTAATATAAAAAGAATATGGCTGAAAATTGGTTTATAATCAGCGAAATAATGCAATAATGTGAATATAATTTATAGCGTACCAATAATCATTTGATTTTTGGTATTAAGAATAATCCATAGAAAATTGAATGTAAGTGTAAAGTGTGATAAGAAAGTGAGTATAAAAATAAAACATTTAAAAAGAAAATAGATATTGGTAAGGAATCATAATCATACTTTAAAATATTCTAGTAGGTTAAGCCTAATGTTGGTAACTTGAGTTAGTAAACTCGCCTTTGATGCCTAAATCATATTTCTGTAGATTAATTTCTAGAACTTTTGACATTATAACTGTGTACTCTATCTTAATTTTCCTACAAAGAGATATAAGCGAAAGTATAAAATGTCGAGTAATTTTCAGCTAATATTTGGATTGTGACTAGCTGAAGAATTCAAGATTAGCGCTTAATCCTAGTTAAGATTCATCATTCGGATGTGCCTGCATCTCAGTATTTATTTTGGCACTGAGAGTCGAACTTACTATCAATTTCTTCAAGCGCCAAGAAATTATTCGTAAAATCATTGGTTTCAGAGAGACACTTACTTGTTCGAGAGTGACCATATGTTATACTAAATATTAACAACAGGGAAACACAAACATTTATTTGTAGTTTAACTAACATGTTTGATTCTTTTTAGCAGATTAATAATAGGGGAGACACAAATCAAGCGCTGGTAAACAACCGTAAACTATTTTAGCAACAATTTCGCTTTCTGAATTACCTTTTACAGTTTAAACGAGATATTATAACTAATTTTTGAAACAAATTGCCTATTTACTGGAAGATTACAATAGTTATAACAAATTTTAACAATAAGACTATTAATGGACGACATAAAGTTATCGCTTAAAAACTCTGGTATACATTGATTGTTAGGAAATTAATAGATTGTGTTTCATTCTGCAGGTGGAAACGAAACAACTAACGATTCTATAGTTATAAAAAGAGGATTATGAATGAAATTTGAGCATGAAAAGGGCGTAACACTTTGTAGGTAAAACGAATTTGTGAAAATAACAGGTGAAGCATTATAATGAAATCAAAAACATTCAAGAAAAAATATCAAAACCACTTTTCAGACAAAAATATGAAGCTGAGATCTGATGACTACTAATAACGGATCAGGCAAACTTGAAAATATCCTGATATAGAAAGTTTCCTGAGGTAAACAGGAACTAGCATCTCCTTAATCACTAATTCTTCCGTCTGTATCTTCCAAGTTTATACTGCCAACACCCACTTGAAGTGAAGAATGTTGAAAATGACATAAGACACACCCTAGAATGTTGGTCATGTTTTTCAGTATGTTAAATAAAAAATATGAGTTCCTAATCAGTTGTTAAACTTCAAACACTTACAAAGTCATTCTTCAGTATCAAATGTCATGAATATTCATGATGTAACAAATTTATTTCCGACAATTCTGAATACAACTTTCATTTAAATATACTTTGCAGTTAAAATATTGAAGGTTTCGATAATTGAAGGACTATATAGGGCATTACATAATTAATTCTCTTTCAGCTTTAAAAACAATATCTGGTTCTAATAAAGATAATGAAAAAAAAATCAGAACAAGTTCAAAATGTTTTATATCATGTTATTCAACTCTGAATTCAATCCATCTATCCAACAGAAAATATTTCATCTTTTATTATGGTTTATTGAAACACGTTTTATAATCTATAATACAAATGAACATTTAATGAATAATGAAATTGATATTTTAGCTAAAACATTAATTCTCAATGAATATAATTTATTAAATGCAAAAATAATAGATTTTAATGAATTATTTAATATAAAAAATGATATGATAGAATATATTTTAAATTATGAAAATCAATGTGTTGCTATGGAGAAAAATTATTCTAATTTATTACGTAAAATATTTATACCAAACTATAATATGTTTATTAATCATAAAGGGAATCAAATGAAATTACAAAAATGTTTTCAATGTCATCTTTATTATTTATATAATTTTTTAAGAAAATCTTTAAAATATGAAAATGGTGAAGAGATTCAATGGTAAACTAATTTATAACTTTTATAGTTATTCATTTAATGTTTATGATGTATTTTGTAGATAATATTAATATATTTTAGGTTTCGGTAATCAAATTGTTGAGACTATTATATATATAAGCTGGTGTATATTTCACATTGAATTAGTCTTGTACAGTACAGTATCATATTATGGTTTTACATTGATTTTATTTATATACAATATAACATTCAAGCAAACAATGTCAAGTGAATTTAAACTTCACCCCATTGCACAATCAAGTGGCTATCAGGACTCAGTAGCTAAGTGGATAACGCGATGGTGACTGAAGTGAAAGGTACTGAGTTCGAGTCTCAGAGTGAACATCAATTCTGAGACGCAGGTACATCCAGCTGACGAGTCCCACGTAGGACGAAACGTGCGTCCTGGATTCCAATGCTAGCCATCATCCATCTTTGTGTATAATGCTTGTGAATTAAGGCTATATCGAGACAATTCGCTTAGTATGCACATATTCCAATAAGAGACTGATCAATTGAAGTCCTAAACATCAATTGGGAGATTCAAGTGAATAACACCAAGTGAATTTAATTTTCAAACAGGCTTCCTCATCGTTTCACAACCAGTCTTTAGAGAAAAAACTGATAATCAAATGAAAACATAAGCTTTTGTGTAGTTAATACAAAGATATTTTAGAGTTTCTACGCTTATAAAACAGGTCAGTTTCAACAAGTTATTCCAACTATTTAGTCTCTCGTACCATCAAAATTATTGACTTTTTTTAAAGACCATTATACTTGCTTACCATATATTAACTCAACTTCAGATGAAAATGAAAAAAATTTCTTTATCAATATACAACTAATTAATAAATAATCAATTCTAAAGTTTCTGTTATTGTATTTGATGATAAAATTTTCAGAATCTTCTACCTAATTAACTTTTGTATTCAATTAGCCAATGTTATTAGTTCTGAATGATCTGAATGGTTAAATTAATCAATAACTAAACAAGTGAAGTAATAGTTCAATGATGACTGACAAAGGTTACTGCAGATATATATGTGAATACATTTTAACTAATCGGATATTTTTAGGTTTTATATAATGAACATAGAAACCTTTTTTCAATAATCTGAATCTATCCACTAGTAAATACTGACTGGTATTCTACTGTTTTGATACTGATTGTTGCTAACACTATGATCTCGTGTTTTATGAAAAGCTAATATAAACCACTTATTTTAAACCTATTATCATACGTCTTATATTGAAGGAAAAAAGAAACTACATATTTTCAATTCAAACCATAAGTGTGCAATATACAGAAAACCATGTAAAGTGCAAATTCATCTATAATTTTTTAAGTCAGTAAATACCAAATGTGTTTTTACTTAATGATCATCTAAAAGCATTAGATCTAATTGTTCTAAACCAACACTCTAATTTTTCTTCTTTTAGTAGGACAAATAAATTCTCGATTTTTCTCTCCTGATCTCCCAAAAATGATATATAGTCTCATATCATAGTTGAGGATACGCGAATTCTCTTATTGATCACTTTGATAACTGCTTATCTTCTCGTCCTACTTACACCAATCATACAACTACTTCTTAAAGGTCACTGAATTAGCCTATCTTTCTACCAATCATTGCTTTGATAACTATACATTTTAGAAAGGTCATAATTCTACTAGACTCAGGGCTGATTCTCTCTTCCATAGATGTTCTAATTTTTTGACTTAAAATTTTTATAGAAGTATATGTAATTGGCAGATGATTGAATTTATTATAAACCAATCATCGTTCATAAGGGATATTTTATTGATTTATTCCGTTAGATTTATTAGGCTAGTGATGAATTTTTAGATTTCTGACTCATTCTGTGTATCCATCCGTTTACGTTCACGTGTAATTTGGCGGATAAACTACGCGAATCTATAATCTTCATAGTACGAAAAATACATGCATCTTAATACACACAATAGAACTTGTTAAACTGATTGTATGAATACTGGGATGATTACTTACTTAAAACGACGCTTCTCATCTGGGGACCTGCAAGGTGAATTAGCTGACAAGCGTATGCAAGAGGGACTACCTAGTTTCTTACGATTCGGATCAACCACACAGTCTGGACAATCATATCAACAGTATCAACAGCAAAGCTCTAATATTCAAACTACAGGGCAGGGTTATTCAAACCAACCCCAAGATTTTAGTTCTACTGGTCCTGCAAACTACGATATGAGATACGGATCTACAGCCCCTACCATGGCCGAACAATTCTCTAGTTCTCAGACAGCCACAACTACAGCTAATCACACTCCTGGATCTGTAGGTCGAGGACGTGGTGCCTATCCAAGTGCACCAACATCACCAACGAGAGGTATGGGACTTGGTGCCTCACTAATGGGTCCAATGGGAAGTTTAACTGGTCAGATATCAAATACACTCATGCGTAGTTTCAATACTGCTGCCTCCACTGCTCAGAATATATCCGGAAAAATGTCTTCAAAAGATCACCAGAAAATACTTCTAGTCATAGATGACACGCAAACTGATTGGTGAGTGATAATTTATGGAAACTTTGTGCACCTGTCTTGTCAAGTATTATGTTTAAACTATGATTATCTCTAAGGTAATAATGCACTTTGAAAATATAGTAAGGTGAATAAAAATCATACGAAAATCCATATCAAGAAATATTTGATTAGACAATCAAATCAAAGTTAAACATTTTGCTCACTAATTGGTTGGAAGATAGAAATATCCGTACCCTGAGTCATCAGTGTTCCTACATATCAGCGTTGTTTACTAGAGATTTATAAGGTGTTATTAGCAATGAGGTGAAATGGTACAAACTAAGCTGTAAGACATCTTACATAATGGTTCTCAGTATCATCTCACTTAAGAAAATGTAGTGACTCATCAGTGAACTTCAAAAATGTTTAAATAGAATATACTGTCTTGCCTTATTTTAATTTCTAAACAGTCCACCACCATAACCCCACTAAAGATCATACTCAGAACTTTCAAGTCTCAAAAAGAGTAAAATATCTTTAGAATACTATTTCAATGTTTTAAAAAAATATTTTGATAATATGCACTTTAGAGCTTACAACGAATAATGCAAGTAAAATTTATTCATTACGGTAAAATATTTTGAGTGACGCGTTAACACTATCCCATTTAAGTTAGGAAATTGCCTTACTTCAATTATCTAATACGTGATTACTAGCATAAGTTGTATGTTATCATCCATACATAGGTGTATTTACCTTTCTACATCCTGTGGCCAACTCACATCCATTAAATTAATATTGACGCCAAATGTGTAGTATGTAATATTCTAAAACGTATTTTACGTAAGAAGTAACTCATTCCAGTAGTACAATTGTTGATAACAATAACGGATGAAATAGCTGTTTTAACCTTATTTTAATTTATATCTTCCGATAAAATTCAAACCTGTCCGATAGTTGTTTTGATTTTCTAGAAATCTATTTCACTGTATACTGAATCAAAGTCCTAAACTTACGTTTTTTGCATATGGACAACAGTTGAATGCTTCTCTTAAAATGTTACGCAATTTTCCAGTCATCCTTTATTAAAGAGATTTGACCATTTAGATACTTAACCATCAGTCAATATATTCAACTTTATTGCATTTCTTATAAGATGATAGATCTGAAAAGGAGAAATGACTTTATATGTGTTATATCTGACTACAATATATAACGCCATTATGGGTCTAGAAACCAAGGCAGTGATGTTGAAACCATACATATAGTATTATTTTAGATGTAACTAAGTGACTTGTTTGGGTAACTGTCAAATATCAACCAAACGGAACTAAAACATTGTACTTATTGAAAGAGATCTCAGCCAAAAAGTAGATGAAGCACACTTTTTACATTCTAGAATTACTATATTTTGAACTGAATACCTGACATCAAAGTGAAACCACACTTCAGACAAGCTGAAATTTTGCTAATTTTACAATTATGAACAATTCAATTAGTTGATTTAGAAAACTCAACTGAAAACAGCATTTACGGGATAAGTTCAATATACATTATTTGATCAATAATCAACATCTAAACACACTAATTTGTAGGGGTTTTCTGAGTTATCCTGTTGTTGATATTGTTAATTGAATCCTGACATTTGAAGCAAAAGATTCTGGGTTCGAATCCCGGAGTGTACACCAACTCTAGAATGCAAGTATATTCCACTGACGATCCATGAATTCGATGAAATGCACGTCCTGGTATCTACTGTTAATTACAATCCATCTCTTAAATAGACATACTGCTTTTATTCATCATATATGTGCTGAATACAAATCACCAATATTATCATAACATACTAATTTCAAAATTCGGTTTTCCCACAAAATATTCAAGGCATGAATAGCAAACAATACTGAAATAGGTCAAACCAGATCCTTTTGTATAACCCAAGGGGAAATCCCCCATGATAAAGTAACTGTATTTTAAGACTGAAAGGAAATGAAATTCAACCATTGTGTTTACATAATTGAGTAAACTAGGTCAAAAAACCAAGTAAACATAAAGAAGAACTGACAGGAAGACAACAAAATCTCCAAACACAACCAAGCACAAACAGGTACATCAGAACTAATTAATATGGTGCGTATGTAATAATTTTCTAAAAATATAAAAATAAAGTTGGGTCTGATAATATTATTCAACCCTACAATTAAAGCTTCATAGTTCATTCATTTGAACTGTAATAAGTAGCATTACTAAAACTATCAGGATTAGCAAAGCATGCCTTCCATCACTTTTATTACAGCAAAGCTAACAAAGTGGACCTCGAATAAAATAAAACAAGTAGCAACAAGGAAGTTGGGAAATGAAACTTGTTCTGGATGAAAACAGAACATGCTTTTATTCAGCGATGTAAAATTTCATTTTTACAAACCCCCACTTGAGATCCTTTTTAAAACTAATTAGGCCCGCTAATTTCAAGGGATTTTTGATCTATTCTCGATTAGTTGCGAAGATGCAATATTTTGGGTAGTATTTGTTATCTGAATATTCTTTTAATAAATACTACTTTCCAAGTTGAAAAATAGGACCATGTCCAAACAGATTTTACCTAAGTTCCTTTGTTTGTGGTGAATTTAATCCAACTACCATAATGAATGACCATACAGTACAGAATAACTGAATAGTGCTCCAAAACAATTTTACGGCGACTGTCACAAATACTATGATCATTAATAAAATAAAAACGAATCTACTTTATACATTTCATTTTCTAAAGCCTACATCTTCCTTTAAGCAAAACTGTAGAGAATAGTTATATTTCAATAACACATTTACTATTCATCTGTTGGTAACCTTACATAAATCAATTCATTACAAATGGCTTGAAGAACAGAAGGCCGAATGGTAATAAAACTATTAGTGTACTAAGAAAGTTTTATTAAATCTTGATCTCTTAAGATAAGTCTCTTAACTTTCATTTATTTTTTTAAAGGTGTAAATATTTCAGAGGCAAGAAGCTGATGGGAGATTGGGAAATAAAAGTAGAACAAGTATGTCGAATTCTAGATTAATTCAGCTTTTATGCTAAGTTAATTATGTCTAAGTGTATCATCTATATGATCATCCAAATTTATTCTTTGAAGGGAAAATAATTATTGATTCAATAAACAATCGAGTTAACATCATTGTTACAAGCAGTTAACCAAGGATGAAAACAAGAACAAAAAATCACTAGAAATTTAATGAAACTGAATCTATGACGGTTGGAATAGTGTAAGAGATGAACAAATTAATTCCTTATTCGACTATCAAGAATTTTAACAAGAGTGAAATTAACCAGCTATCTCCTATTACTATCCATCATTTGTCTATGTTTCATACTGAATTCCGTCTGCTTTTTCGTTATTTACTTAAATAAATCCACATAAATATAATTATTAGGAACTGAGCAACAGAAGTAGATACCTTCAATTTTTCATCACGCTACATATAGCTCATATTCACTTCGACTATAAATCAATCACTTTAGCTTCATGAAAACTATTCCTTAATATTTCTTTCTGTTAACTTTCTACTAAGCTTTTAAAATCCACAAAAAATTTACTTTGTATCTTTCTGTGATGTTTTGAATATCAACCATCTATATTCTTCACTTCTATCTAATACTGATCAATTGAAATTAGCATGTTAACTAGAAATGATAAAATTAAATGAAGCAAATTTATAAATAGGGTGTTTACTAAATCACATGTTGATAATAATTAAATTATTATCTAATGATTATTGTCTATTTGTTGTCGTTCAATTGATGAGTATGCCATAATATTCACTTATCTAAACTTTTAGATAAATTCACTATAAATATTGTGTGTGTTCAGATGATTTCCATACTCGTGTATATAGAATAGAAATGTGCTGTGAACAAAATTTAGTTAATAATCAGTATACAGTACTTAAAGTTCTGCCACCAAACTCAGACGTTGCTATAAAGTATGTTTATAAATCAACTGAATTTATAAATTCATCTTATCTTCTCTAATTATTCAATATATCTATCAAAACTAGGTTCAGATATAAGTTGTTTTCGGGTTAGATAACTGATTCATTGAAACAGAATTATCAGCTGTGGACTTTATGTAGTAATGGTTTGATAATTTTACGATATAAGGATAATGCTATCATATGCATACCGTGGAACTAAACTGAAACTTGTCTCTCAAATGTCAAGGAAAAAGTAAAAGATCAAGGCAGGTAAACAGAACCTTGAAGACTGGGCCCCTAATATGTAGGGGACTTTAATTATTATTCGTAAGAAGCTAACTTTCCGATTCCCACATACTTAGCACTACCTCTTTATTACAACTGACTTTTCTTAAATATATAGTACACCATGGTCGTTTCTGAGGCTTGAAATTGGCATATTCTTTCATAATATAAAGTTGATCAATAATTCGTACTGGTTTAAGATCAATCCATGAAAAATTAAGCTCCTTTTTTCTGATATTTCAGGCTCAATTCTCAGAAATTTCAATGACAGCCTATAGCGAACAAGGTTGCGTCGTTAGCATCTATTCCGATCAAATACGTTCAAAACCTCTAAGGTAAGTCTATAAAATAGCGGTTTCATAGTTTCAAGATGAATTGAACATGTTTACTCGCGATTGTTTGTCTCGTCCATAAAATAAATAATTCGATTATGATTAGTATGGTAAATTGATCTTCCTTCAGAAATTAAATTTCATTAATTGGTAACAATTTTAAATTTGTGCCATGACGTTTTTATTTGCCGAGTTTCCAGACATTCTGGAGGAATATGGCTCAGTTTTCTCTTCGTTTATTGATAAAAGTCATTCTTCATAATAGTAGTATCCACCACCTGACTTATATTGGATGGATAAAGAGGTTGTTTTGGGGCCGACGACAATATTCATTTCCTGTGAAAGATTTCGGCTATACACTAAGCAGCTTTATCCAAATCCTTTTAAATCATGCGTATCTAAATTGACTGTTTAATTTACCTAATTCCTAGACCACCCTAAGAGATTGTTGAGACAATATACAAAAACCATTATGGTTAACAGATATTATAACGCGTTTACGTTTACTAATACATCACCCTATGCGATATCTATGTTAGATTTCATTATGAGAAGGGAAATAAATAAATAAACTATTACCTAAGCAACATTTACCGACGGAAGCCATTATATATAACTCAAAATCTATCCCACAGATTCAACTAAACTTACTAATTAAATGTGTAAAAGTTGATACTTTATTCTCGTTTCAACTTAATCGCTTTATTATTGACCTGTACTCTTTTCACATTCAACTGTATAGTGTAACAACTTGAAGTACAATAAAACTTTCCCAGGTCTTTTAATAACAATCCCCTTGAAATAAAACTTCTTGTGTAAAAGTCGACATTTTATTTCGTTTTAAATTAGATCATTTAAACCTGATTTTGTCCTGATACGACAACATCCAAGTGATTTGAAGGAGAATTGGCAACCTATACTCACTGGACTAATGTATGGAGGTACACCATGTATGAATACTTTGCACGCAATATATAATATGAAAAATCGCCCATGGCTTGTGAGTTTATTAGAATTTTGGTTAGTTAATAGGACTACTGTTATTAACATACTTACTTTCTTTTCGTAACAAAAAATCTACTCGAAGAAACTCTCGCAAATGTGTTTCTACTAAAGCTTTGATGGTAACACCCGTATATTCAATAAATTCGACTTCATAAAACAGAAATCATATGAACTATAAGTAATTCAGGATATCCTAAAACTATGAACGCCAAAAGAAAAATCTTAAGGCCACAACATTAATATTTTGTATAGCAATTACAATCATGACGACAAACATGTCATACTTACGTTTTTAATGTCTATTAGATTTATTAAACACTGCTTTACAGTTTATTTATCTACAGACTATTTTAATTGAATTATGATCTTTCTCATTTTTCAACACATACATATGGCGAAATTTTCTGTTGATTTCAGTCCCAGACATATTAAGTGATGAAATGTATAGTGTTTACAAAGTTCATCTCCTTCCTATGTTATATTGTTTAGATTGAGAGTTTAATTAAAATATGCTTAGAAATCTTCAATGAACTGGTTTAAACAGCTTTCAGGTTTATTTATTTTCGTCTTTGTTTTTCCAATTGATTTACTATTAAACCTATATACCTGTTCAAAATGTATCGCTTAGTCTGGAAAAGCCAACTACAAATCCTCGGAATTTAAATATTTTGTGTAAGTTTTTATAAACTATGAAAACTTCTAGGACATCTACTGTCGTACATATGCAGAATAACAGCTGATATTATACATCACTAAATGGTTTTAGCAACAGATTTTATGTGTATATGCAACAAAAGCCTGCTTTTCATACTGAAGTTCAAATCAGATTGTTCATTCGACAAGTAGCTGATTAATTAGAATCAAACAGCTCATATAAATATACTTTTGAACAAAGTTTGAAGAGTGCATTTATCCTAGGGGTCAATTTATATAACTTGACCAGTAAACTATGGTAATAAGTCAAGAATCAAGCTTTTTGAGTGAGATTATCTATTGTTTTATTTTGTTCACAGATACATCGTTACAAAAATATGTAATTTCATAGGATTAGAATGAGTGAAGCTTGTATAATCAGTGGCAAAATAATAATGGTCAGCACATGTGTGTAAAGATCGAAAATGTAAAATCTTAGAAGTCTATACTAACTGTTAACCATAATTCAGAAGTTGGTCTATCCAAACAATGGAAATGATTTCTTCAGGATTTTTAGTGGTAAGGTTCATGAATATGTATTTAAAATAAGATAGTAACTACAGATCATTAGTTGTGTAGACAGCAGGTTAAAACTACTAGTTTCGTTACACACCAACTTTTGTTTAACCGTTTCTACAAATGAAAAAGATATACTTCCAACTCACTTTATGAATAGTTTTCATATTGCCCGGATCTACATCTTATAAGTAAACCTTCATATTCTTATAAATTAAAATTAACGTTATCACTACTCAATATACCACGTCAAATTAACTGAATACACTTCCTCATTAAGCTAATTCACTTTTGTTCTAAATATTCTTTCTTTACTGCTGTTCTTGAAATTAACCCAGTTCTTTAAGTTAAATATATATTTACTTTCCTTCCAGTTCGCTCATTTATTAATGATCCGAAATCGATTGGGCAAAGAAAATTTTCCACTTATTTCACAAACCTATCATACAAGTCATAAAGAAATGGTATGTATCATAAACTGTATACTTTTTATAATGAAACAGTGATTTTAGCAATTAGTTTTGTCCTTATTGACGTATGAAGCGATAATTGAAAAGCCCATCATAAAATTTGATCGTGTTCAGGTATACATACAAAATTTATTTAACTAGCTTCATCGGAAATAAAATCAGATCGACTGTTAATACAGTGAAAATTATTATCCTATAAAAAAAGGTTTAGTTTCGGAATCGAATCATTTTAGATTCTGACAATGACGACTTAACATTATAGAAGTTTTTCAGCGCTACTATTTACCGTCATAAACTCATATCAACTGTATACTAACAGAAGACTGGACAGCACTGACTCCATCTTTGTACTAGTTTAGAACTTCTTACAAGTTCATATAATTGACAGGTTTCAGGATCATCAAGTACTCTAAGCTATAGAAATGAAACACATCATTGGAAATTTATCCACTTCAATCGAATGGTAATACACCATAGCTATGAGTCGATAATGTCTGAGACAATCCTTTTTCAAACTCAACATAACTGACTTCGCAGATTATAGTCTAGTATCAGAGTTTAACTAGATCATCTAAATTAGGTAATTTCTCGTTCGGCTAAGTATTACTTGATCTACTGATTAACGATAGGAATTTTTACTTAAAGTACGCTTGGTGGTAGTCTGTTTCATAAATAATAACTGATAACGATTAGAATACAGATGATTTTCACCAAGATATATCGTCTTACTTATCTTTTTCAAGTATTACTTATTTTATGTTTTCTAGTTGATACATGCTTAAAGAAATATAAGTTTCATTGATACTGAATTATATCTAATGAACAAACATTTAACAATTTCTAAATTATCTCAGTTCTTTTCAACTTCTTCATTGTAAAAACATATTCTTCAATGTAGCTATAATGTGATCTGTTGGTTAAGTTTTTTACTTGATTATTTAAAGGTAAATTAGAACAGTTAAACTAGATTAAAATAGATTGCTCTGAAGCTTATGATCTAATATTGATTTCTTTCTGTAATTTCAAGTGATTAACATTTTAAGTAGTTTAAGAGCTTTATAATTACAGACAGACATCTTTCAAGTCTATTACTATCATGAACTACTGTTTTTATTTAGCTCATCCGTGAACATTACACAAATCATTTTATCATCGTGATGAAAAGTTTCTCAAAGATCATCAGTGGCTAAAAAAATGTAAACAAGATTAGTTAAATTGTTCATCCTAACCCATCATAAAAACTGAAAAACTATCTATAAAAACAATCATCTCCAATTTCTCATTTAGAAACTTTCACTTTCATCATTTTTATGAACATCAAAAGAAGGAGCTTTTTATGTCTTTCTTCATCTTTGTATTGTTGGTAATCCCTTATCAGAAGTATCGAACACGTCACCTGAATAATTAGTTAAGTAACTCAATTGTGTTTATTGTTATAAACTTTTGATTTTCTTCATTCATATTCATTTTAGGTTGTAGCACCAGCGTTTCCAGTTATTGTGAAAGTCGGAGTAGGTCATCGTGGCGAAGGCAAGGTATGTAAATCAAATGTTTTAATAAATTCAAGCCACTTGACTTTGTCATCAAACTTTTCATTCCATTGTTGTTAACACATCCATTTGTCTTTTTAATGAGATAACTTCATTTCAATAAAATATCCAAATTCAAAGTAAAACTTACGACATGCCGATGTCATATACAGTAGCATATTTTCTCCAAGAGATTGTCGGCAGCAAGTCACAAAGTAAAACGATTGCATAGCCGGATACTTTTCCGATGAGTGAATTTATTTCGTGAAGAAAAAAAGCAGCACAAATATAATTATGACTATCAACAGATAACAATTCACAAAAATTAACATATTGAACGTACGATACTAGTTATTTTATTACATACATTAAAATACAACGGTTTCCTCATGGAGCTTTTTTAATGTATTATCAACACATTTAAAGGTCAGCCAGTCAGTTACTTGAGACGAAAAACGTGCTTAGTTATATAAAGCTGAACAGTACAATGAACTTATCTAATTATTAGTTATCATCCAGTTAGTTAAATCCTAATTTAAAAGTAAATCATGTGCTAGAAAGCATGGTTCATAAAATCGTCCTTAAAAATACTTATATGATTGCTTCCATAATAGTAATAATAACTATAGTGTCTAAATTTATTATTTACATGTAAGATATTTTATACTATTCGCCATAACCTCAAAGGTACTTGATATTTTTTTTCTGCAAAATATTTGCATTAAAAAGGTGAAAGCTGACACACCATTTATTTATCAAGATTTGGTTGGTCTTATGATTTCTGGTCAAACATATGCCACAACAGAACCATTCATTGATGCCAATTGTGATCTCCATGTACAAAAAATCGGTACGAATTATAAAGCATTCATGTAAGTTTCATTCTTATTAGTATGTCTTACAAACCAAACGTATTTAATTCTTGTATCACTACACTGCATATATAGTTCTTCATACCTATTTGTCAGCAAGAGGAAAATGTCACTGACTAAACAAAATAACACTTTGAGGTTTTAGACCGACTATTGATGAATGTACTCCTTCAATAAACAGATAGTATATGGAATTGGTACTATTTTTGTTGTGGTTACAGGGCTTCCGATTTTATAACCACATGTAATAATTATAGCTGATAATAAATATCATAACAGTAATTACAGAAAATATATAGTTTAACTACACATAAAGACTACTCAATATTCATTTATTTCTGAAAGTAGTGGAACTAGGTAGACTTTTGGCTAGGTTATTTCTAACATATCGACCAGGTTTGTCTTAGGCTCCTGGATAAAAATATAATTTAATTGATGAAATATAAAAAAAATAAAGAAAGAAGGAAAAAGTAATATCATACACTTCGTACTGAAAATAAAAAACCGAGATATTATCATGGGATTTATCAATCCATAATTATCAGTAATAACATTTGTTAAATATAATTATCTCAGAGTGGTACATAGACTAGAAAAACTGAATTATTCTTGAGGAAAAAATCATATGAAGATGCGCTTAAGCCACAATATAATGTTTTATTCATTAAGCGAAAAACGATTTTCATTAAAAATCTTGCAACTTATTTTACCTCATGTATTAAAAGCCATGAAGTCAAAAAACTGATTCACATTCTCCTTATTACTGTCGCACGATTAGTGAGGGTAGTAATTTTAGTAGGCTTAAAGCCTCAAGCTTAAATAAACAACTCTATCTGAAAATATCCTAGTTAATAACTCTCCAGCACTTCACACCATCAAATTCACATAGGAGTGGACTCATGACCTCCAGATCCAGCGAGAACAATACTACTCAATTACCTGGTTCAAAAATATGACTGTGACGTGACGTGGTAAAAGACTCCTAAAAATGAATTCAAAAAGAGATTTCTCAACCTGAAAAAAATAACTTCATTTTGTTCATATAAAAGTGGTTTACTGATTCTTGTATTTATTTGTCAAACTATACAAATTTTTTCATAAAGGCGTAAGGCTATATCCGGTAATTGGAAATCGAATACTGGATCAGCATTACTCGAAAAAGTCCCAATGAATGACAAGTAAGTTCACTCTAATATCCTCATTGTTAACATTTTAATTTTAATTGCCGTGATTTTATTCACCAATCTTTCTACAACTATATATACAATGAAAATTGTCTATCTCTTTAATCAGGTTGTATAAAAAATTTTCAGGGTATACGAAGTCAAACAGTTCTATACTAAGTGTTTTAAGTCATTCAACATCCAAAATGAATTATGGTTTGAACGATTATCTTTGATCCAATAAAATATAGTTACTTATCGGAAATCCGTAGGTCGATAGAATCTTAAATAAATGTCAGCTGGTGAATAAATGAAGGAATTAGACTGAATGAAAGACGATTAAAGAGTAATGCCTATTTATCAATTAGAACCTCGTTTTTTAAATGATCGTAACCTCTTTGTAATAAATGATTCAGATTTATATCATTGTTATGAATCGAATACTTGGTCTTTCAAATGAAACAATTATATTTTCAGAGTATACTTAGTTTGGTTGTCGTTTATATGAACAGGTTTTTACATACTTTTCAATAAATTCACTATTTGATTTGATAATATAAATAGATTGTAGGTACCAGAGAAGAAATTTTATACACCTATTACACAATAAACAGTGTCATTATTATTTACATGTCTTGGTGTAAATATTGGTAGTGATCAAATTCTTATCATTAGTTTTGACGAATTAGAGCTGAATAAATCGTAGGTATATATTATACCCTTGCTCCCTATATTTATACACTGACTTTAAAAAAAACGATGAAATTCGACAGCTAACTTTCTACTCATCCAATTAGTTACCAATGGGCTTTAGAAACTAGCTCTTCGTTTCACTGATACTGATAGGCTTTACACTTTCAAAACTATCCACTTTAATTTATTTTCAGATTTAAAATATGGATTGATGAAGTGTCCCGTTTATTTGGAGGTTTGGATATCTGTTCTATTGATGCGTTACAATCAAGAAGCGGTGAATATTTTATTTATGAGGTGATCACTTTGGAAATATGGAATATAAACTATACTATCGCATAAGCCTTTAAAGTTTTAATATGGTTTGTGTTTCATGTATTGACTAAGATGTAGAAAATTACAGCCAAAATTAAACATCAAAATATCTTAATCTATTTCAGTAATACATGATTTATCAGGTTGTTCATTTACTCTTTTTCCGTATTCCTGTAATTTCATATTTTTCAATAGCTAGCCTCTAAATGCAATTTTATTAACTTAAAACTGAAAACCAACCGTTTCATTCAAGCATTTTGTGAACAATTAATGTGCATTTATTTGCAAATTAGCCAATACAAGTCTAAGTGGGGTCATTTTGATTACTTATAGACCGATCCAACTAATCAGTCTACATTTCCTTATTTTAATTTATTTACCCGTTTCCTGGGATGATACTTTAGGAAAATAAACAGTATGAAGATCCATATCAAACTCATTAGTTGCTTGGTGGAACTTAAATAATGTTATATATCAATAATCCAGTTGAAAGATTTATCATACCAATGAAAACAGATTGGTTGCCACTTTTTTTAATCAAACTCACTAAGTAGTGAAGTTTCGTGAGTGATAACCTCTGATTTTGAGGTATTCACAGTCCGTATTTCACTGTTCATCAGCTTCAGTTAAATTTCTTATAAGACTGTGTACTTTTAGAATAACAAGACAAAATAGTAATGATAATGTCATATTTTAATGCCGTAAAATCTATAAAACTCATAAAGCACAAAAATTAGTTTATAATTGTATTGAACTTTTCCTCCAAGAATCTGCATTTTGTACTGCGTTAACTATAGATGTCAGAAACCAGTGCTTTCAATTGATCTATTCCATAACATAAAGTGTAGAGAGATATAACATCCAAATCCCATAAAAGCAGTTATTATTGATCTGTTGTTAGGTTGAGGTATAGCACAAATAAGATTCATGAACAGGATTCTGCTCACTTAAGATTTAAAGCTTATTAGTTTTCTACTCTGTTAACTAACAATAG